ACACTGCGCTCCTGGGAAGGAGAGCCCTGCCCTGGGTACACAGGAGCCGTCCAGGCTTGCAGAGCGGCCCTTCACCCAGCAGCCGGGGCCCCACCTGCCCCAGACGCAAGCTCTGACGTCAGAACTCACCTGCCGGCCCCCTGCCTCAGCAGCTACCTCGATGGTAGCCGGAGGCCAGGGGGGCGCGGTTCTTAACTCAAGGGAGGGGACGAGGAAATGCACCTTCACGGGGACTGATCGTGCCAGGTGCTGAGCGCCCTACAGCCGTTTACTGTTACCTGGGGGAAACGTGAAAGGAGTAAATGCAAGGAGAGACGGGTCTACTGATATCAAACGTTACACTCAGTCCTTTCAGGAAAATACAGGCAAACCTCGGTTTATTGTGCTTCTCGGGTGCTGTGTTTGTTTTGTGTTAATATTATTTTTACGGATTTCAGAGAGGAGAGGGAGAGGGAGGTAGAAACATCAATGATGAGAGAGAATCATTGATCGGTCGCCTCCTGCACGGCCTCCTAACTGGGGATCGAGCCGGCAACTCGGGCCTGTGCCCTGACTGGGAATCGAACCGTGACCTCCTGGTTCCTAGGTCGAGGCTCAACCACTGAGCCACGCCGGCCTGGCTTTGTCCTGTGCCGTTTTCCACCACTCTGTGAGGGCCCCTGGGCTAAAGAAAGGATCAGGGGGGCAGGGGAGGGGAGTGGAGGGCAGGAAGTACATCCAGAAGCAAGTTAAGGGGAGGCGAGGCCAGAGGGCCTGCGGGGCCACCTCCTCGCAGCATGACTGTGGGCACGTCCCCGCCTGCCTGAGCCTGTCTCCTCACCTGTGGGGCTGTGTGAGGCTTAAAGGTGGTCATGCTTACACAGCAACACGGCCCTTCTGGGCCCCAGCAGCTGTTTTCAGCTTCCCACTGTCCTGTGGCTGAGCGGGAGGCGGAGGAAGCCGAGACGTTCCATGAGTAAAAGAGAAAATTCCGGTGCTGGACGGAGGAGCGAGCGGCCAGGGCTTAGCCCCGTGCTGTCTTTCTAGGTTGTCAACACGGGAACAGAGGCCTGGAAGCCTTGAGCCCCTGGCCAGGGCAGGAAGCTCCTGGGGCTAATTCCCTCTCAGAGGGGCGTCCGACGGCCGTGACTAAATCATTCCATCGGCATCTGTGCTGCACTCGGCCAGAGCACTTACTAGGAATCGGGGATGGATCTGCGGTTCGTCAGCTACTGCCAGGAAGCCTGCACGGACGCCTCAGCGCGCGTGGGCCCCAGAACAGGGCCTCCCGGGGTCAGCAGCCTCGCCCCCTCGGGCAGGAAACAGCTCTCTTTCTCCGAAGCCTCCCAGCTTCAGCATCCAATGACCCCGGGAGGAGTCAGAGGGAGAAAAAGTTCTAACTTTTAATCCCGTGAAGAGACAGAGGAGCGGCGGTGCCAGGGCTTGGAAAGAGAGCTGGGAGGCCTGAGGTTTCTCTCTGGGTTAGAGCCCCTCCCCCTTCTCCTCTGGGGGCGCTCTGGGACACACCCCCCCCAGGGGTAACTTACACTTCTGTGGTTATGAATCCGGTGAGCTCCGAGAGGAAGAGGAAGAGGATGAAGAGGCAGCAGCAGACAGAGACTGCAAGAAACAACAGAGACGCACAATAAGGGTGGAGGCCACACAAGGGAGGCCATACCCCCCCCCTCCCTCTTCCTTCCCC